ATACTGATTGATTAATTACTACTTTTCAAAGACAGCCCCGCACTTAATCATTCAAAGACATCATTTCCTGTTAGAGCAGTCTCTCAGTCTCTGATTGTGAGGATGTTCCACTTTTGTGAATTCACAGTAAATAACGTATAACGAAGGCGCTGCGGCTTTATAGGTGGCAGTTCTGACGCCTCCTTAATTATCCCGCCCACCAGAACTCAGAGGCTATTAGCTGTCACGGCTAGATAGGCTAGTGCCGTTTGGACGCGATTACTTTCCGCTGTGGAGTCAGTTTATGAAGTGACTAGATCACCAAATCCGCTGAAAACTTGTATACAAGACTTATTCACATTCCATGATTACAAATATGACATTCATTATTAGCGCTGCAACTAATGGAAGACACTAGGGTTTTCTGTGATTATGATGGGAACTATGATTTTGTTTTGGGTCAACCTCATCAGAGCGCAGATAACCGTAGTGTCTTCCATTAGCGCCAGCGCCACGAATGAATGTCATATTCGTAATCAGGATGTTAAATAACCCCTGTATACAAGTTTTCAGCGGATTTGGTGATCTAGGCACTTCATAATGACTCCACAGCGAAAAGTAATTGCGTCCAAACGGCACTAGCCGGCTAGATATCGTTTTGCCAGCATAAAAAGAGCAAGTCTGGAAGAATTCGTACAGTGAGGCAGCCAAAAAGTCCTTACTTACCAGGGAAGTTAGCCAAGCTTACCATGGAACTTTGAATGGAGACCTGGGTAGATCGATAGAGTCTATAAGGTTATTTACAAATATAGATAGCAAAACTGCAACCTGCATTTCACAAGCAACTTATGAGCAGGTAAAGTTTGTAATGGTGCAGTAGGGTGGAGGCTTGGTGGTGAGCTGTGAAGCATAAGCGAGGAATCGCATACGTCGAATCGAGTCGTCGAACGTCGAACCTTACCACTGAACCACCACGACTCGATTCGACGTATGCGATTCCTCGCTTATGCTTCACAGCTCACCACCAAGCCTCCACCCTACTGCACCATTACAAACTTTACCTGCTCATAAGTTGCTTGTGAAATGCAGGTTGCAGTTTTGCTATCTATATTTGTAAATAACCTTATAGACTCTATCGATCTACCAGGTCAAAGTTCCATGGTAAGTTGGCGGACTTCCCTGGTCAGGGTGTTCTCCATGTTTTTTTTTCCTCGTCCCTGAGAATCATTGCTATCCATCTTGTAACTAGACCCCTCTATCCACAATAT